ATTCACATTTATAGTTATAAAAAAGTTCTAAAAGTAAAGAAAGTTTTTTACTCTTGACATATACAAGGTTGCGTGAGTTTTTGCGAGGCATGGCGGATGTCCGGGGGGTCACTAATTCGGACAATGCCGGACAAGGGGGGAGGGGGTCTGAAAATCCATCATTTGGCCGGACACCCTTTGTGAATGTCCCCTAACTTTGAAAATATTACGTTGCATTTGAATGTGTACTAAATAGCACGATCAATCCACAGTTATTTTAATAGATGGTTCGGAGACTCGATGAAAGTACAATATAACTCATTAACTATGTTATTGTCCAGCTTTATGCAAGAATTTGGTCCTATCTCGTCAGGTGTGTATTGTATTTTCGCTCAAACTAACCAATAACAAGTTTGTGGTTGAGTTATCCATCCGTAACTTGAACAAATGCTCAGTTTAAACATTGCTATTGGTTGTGCGGGAAAAAATACAATACACACGTGACATAAACCGAAACCAACATAGTTAATGAGTTATATTGTACTTTCATCGAATCTCCAAACCATGTATTCTATTAACTGTGATCAATCTAATTGTGCACTTTGAAACATCTTCCACGACTCATTCTTATTTCAGGGGATTGATACGCGAAGGTGATGTTATGATGTTAGGACCGTCTGAACATGGACAATTCTATAAAAGTAAAGTTATGTCAATACGTCGCAATCGAGTTCCATGTCGCCATATCAAAGCAGGGCAGTCCGCAACATTGGCACTTACTGGTGTTGAGAAAGCATATATACGTCGTGTAAGTATGTTCAATTTTTGAATGTGAGGATTTTGGGCATCTCGATATTGTAGGAGCGTATTGTTGTTGGTAATTTCAAGTGTAAATTTTATAAACTTATCAGACCTAACCAGGAGCGGTTGCGAAAAATGCAAAATGCCCTCTGGCAGGAGTCGAATTACATGCAACCCTGAGATTCTGGTGAAACGCTCTAACTAACTGAGGTACAGTGCGAAGAAAACTTGCTGCTTTGTTCGTCTTAGAGAATGTTAATACGTTGTAAAATAATCAAATTATGTCGAAACGGTTAAATTTGAAGCATTTTAAAAACTTACGTAACCGGTGTTTCAACCCTTCTATTGTTACTTTATATATTATTAATTATGCTATTACCTGATACGCGCCCGCATTTCTTACCTGTTGACGATTCTATAGTACTTCATAATTCACTTGTTACTGACAGTAGTTGGGACCCCTGTGGGCAAGCTGAAAGGTTTGCCTGACCACGGTGGGAATCGAACCCGCGACCTTTGGGATACTAGTTCAATGCTCTGCCAACTGAGCTACGAGTTCAACTCGGTTCGAGTTGGTGACATTTCGGAACTGAGTCTAGTTCCTTCGATATGAATGTATTCTACCTTTTTGTACAAACATCATATTCACCTGAGTACATAACACCAACACACACAAAAAGTATCATATCTTAGAATACACTGATGTCGAATGAACTAGACTGAGTTCCGAAATATCACCAACTCGAACCGACTTGACCTTGTAGCTCAGTTGGCAGAGCATTGGACTAGGATATCAAAGGTCGCGGGTTCGATTCCCATCGTGGCCACAAGACAAGACAAGACTTTATTTATACACTCTTGAATCAAATTACAATTATTTAAAAAAGGAAATTGATAGAAATTATTTGAGCGTATAGACTACCTGGAATAACTATTTTTATTATATACACAAGGTCTGGATATGAGGTATTCTGCAATCTGATTGGTTCTCTACTACCAGGATATTAGCTCATATCCTGCTAGTAGAGAAAAACAAAATGGCGGCTAAAACTGAATTTCCGGGGCCGGTTGTATAAAAACGTAGTTAGCGCTAACTGCAGTTAAAAAGTAGTTAACTCTTTTTCGTTCGCTGCTGAAATAACCAGGGGCCGTTGTTTAAAACTCTTAATCACTTTTTTAATCACTATTTTGTAGTTAAATAGTGATTAACTCTCAAATACGCGCTTTTTATTGGATGACGTTTCCACTAACTATAGTTAACTTTAATCACTTTTTTATACAATCGGCCCCAGATGTTTTGCGAACGAGAAAACGGCAAGTTGTTCGCTTTTTATAGCCCTTTCAGGATTAAAAACACAATGAAAAAACTCCCACAAATTGTTTACAGGTTAGCAAATGAATTTTTAAAATTTAAAATGGTTAAAAAATATATTTTTGAAAAAATAATCGGCCGAAAGAGCGAAGATACAAACATAAACAAAACAGATAAATATTGAAAATACCCGAAAAGCAAAGTCTGTGAATTCAGGCCTTGTGTATATAATAAAACAGTTATTCCACTCACTCTCGTCGAATATGAGCGATAGCCGATTCGGCGCTACGCGCCTCATCGGCTATCAGCTCATATTCGACTCGAGTTCGTAGAATAACTGTTAAATAGCTAATGTTTCAGGTAGGCTTTCATTGGGGATTATATAGTATTAGAGAATAATTTGTTTTTAGGAATATCTATATAATACCAATTATCATTACAATATTAATCATAGCAATAGGCATCCTTAAAATATTCAATGGAGAATTTCGCGGTCAAACTTTGCAATTTTACTAATTTTAACACGCTCTTTCTAGCTGTGGTGATGGATTTTGTTCTTCTTTCCTAGATGAAAATTTAGTCTAAAGGAGTATAGCTGGAATAATCTATTAATTTTACAATTTATGTTATACCCTTATAATAATAATAAGCGCAACAACTTGTTTGTTTTTGGTCACTTATTTTGGCTGCCAATATAGTTGTGTGTTGTATAGGACTTTTTGCAATTATTTGTATTCGACCATGTAAGGAGCAATTTAAATGAATGACTGCAATAATATTGATATCGATTGTTTCTAATCATTGTAATATGTCGCCTGAAGATTTAGGCTATGTTACACGAGGCAATTTTTTCTGCAACTTGCAAGGTAACGCATTCTGTCACATTGCAAGTTGCAGGCAAGCAATATTGCCTTGTGTAGGCGCCCCTTGATTGCAACTGGTTTCACAATGAAATAGTATGTTGCGAATTGCAGAGAAAGTCGGACCTGCTTCTACTTTTTGAAATCATGCGCGACAAATTGCAGCTTCTAACACCCTCACTGCATATAGTCGCATTTAGATCGCAAAACAAGTTGCACTCGTCTGACAAACAAGTTACACTCCTCTGACATGTCACTGCAACTTGTGAAGTTATTTTTCAGCATTGCAAGTTGCACCAAAAATTACTTCATATGTAACATGGCCTTTACAGTAACCATCTTTATTATATAGTAGAGAGTGAGATACTGAGAAATACACAGTGACATATTTTCCATATCTTCACTAGTGAAGATATCGATCACGTGACTTTTAGTATTTATACAATTTTTTGCTTGGGACTATATAATAAACAGAATATTACAC